AGATTATAGATATTAGTAGAATAGGTACTATTAATATTTAGTATATATTGCGTGCTCTTAAAGGCTTCTAGTAAGTATAGGTAGACCGTAGAGGGCATTTATAGCACGAATAGCTCTATTTTCTAGATTAGTTTTAGCCTTATAAAACATACCGTTTTCGTCTAATAACTTAACTATCTACTAAGCCTAGTTTATCTCTTATCGAGTATTAATACTATAAGACTAGGTAGTATTATATATATTCTTAGGCTTTAGGATAATACTATAGTCGCGGAAATAGGCTATAATCTTTAATATTAGTATTCGCGCTTACTAAAGATCTCTTCTAACTACTCGAGGAAAGCCGCTATTCTTAACTTCTACTATACTATAGTAAGGGCGATAATATCGTCCTTCTCGTAGCTATAATAATAATAGCTATCTTCTAAAGAGTAGCGAATTATCTATTAACCTTCTAGCTACTCTAGATTAATAGTAATAGTATAGAAATAGAACCTATACTCTATTTTCTTTAAAGTCGACTTCTAGCTTATCTCTTTTCTCTAGATACGCTTATCTAGTAAACCGTAGTAACTATATACGAAGAGGTACCTATATTTAACCTTATTCTTACTCTTCTATAGCTTGTACTACTTAAACTTATATCTAGTTAACTTTCTAAAGATATAGACGTACTCGATAAGGATATAATAAGACTTAAATATTAACTCTCGTAGTAAAGGTCTATAGCGGCACTCCTTAAGCGAGAATAGGTACTTCTAAGGTTATAGTAATACTAACCTATTATTAGACAAAGCGATACGCTTACGAGGTAGGCTTAGTAAGCGATAGCGACCTCGAATACATATCTCTAAGATAAATCGGACCTCTTCCTACGACTTAATATCTACTACTATCGATTATACGCCGTCTATTACTATTTCTATTCCTTACGACTTAATATCTACTACTATCGATTAAGCGTCGTCTATTAATATTTTTAACTCTTTCTATAGCTTAATACTTACGGTTTACCGCCGCCGATAGCGCGTCTTTTATATTTTTAATACTTTAATATCTCTAATACTATCTACTACTAAGAGTACGCCTTCTTCTACTACTAAGAGCGCGCCTTCTACTACTATCTCTACTACGCTACTAGCGATAAGATTATTAAGAAACTTTTTATATAATAGAGATTTAGCTATTTTTAATAGTTACTAGGAGATCTACTATAAAAGAGGAAAGAAATACGAATTTTAGGCCTATAGTAGAATTCGAAATATAACTGTAAGAAGGGTTATATTAGTAGGTAGATAGGGTAGTAGTAGGTACAAGTAGTATTCGATAAGGCACTAGAAGGAGAGGGAGGAAGGTAGGCAAGTTAGCCTATTACTAAGTGCTAAGCCCTGCCTAAGGCACTAAGACCCTAGCTTTACTCGAGCCCGGTTATATACTAATTACGTATAACCTCTTTAGCCCTAACATACGCTTCCCTTCTAAAGGCCGCGCCCTCGTAGCCTATCTATATTCTAATCTCGACCTCTATTACTACTAACTTAGCAGATATAACAAGCTGTCTAGTCCGCGCTAAATTAAACACTTAACTACCTAATTATATAACTATATTAAACCTTACCTCTAACACAATACAATATATAACTCTAACTGCGCTATCCTTATATATAATAAAGTAAAGGGATATAGAGCTATAAGAATTAAGGGCTATCGACTAATTATAATACGGGCGCGTCTTCCCTACTATAATAGCTAGATATACGAGGTATTGCAGCCCTGCCTCCGCTCTAAGTAATGTCGTTCCGAGTTCTTTGCGTCTACTCTAAAAGACCTAGAAATGTCCGCTCCGAGGGTTTGTCCGTTTCTAAGGGTTGCTCTTATTATTACGAGGGCTATTATTTACTATCGTAGTTTTACTAGCCCTAATTAGTTAGGTTTAGCAGCCTTTAAGTGTTAACTAATTATATCTTTTTAAAAAACTTAGTTCCCCTAGTTTCTATAGGTAAAGGCTATTATAAGTGTAATAGTTAAGGTTCGCCTCGCTTAAAGGGTCGGAAAGATCGAGGAGTAACCTATTGTCCGTAAGATCGACCCTGGCTAGCTTAGCTCTATAGTTTTGCCCTTAGTTAGTCTATTAGTCGCTCAATCTTTTAGGCGGCTTAAAGTTTTAACTTAGCCTTAAAGTTTTAATTAAACCTTTAGTATAGCTATTCTTTTAACTTAATTAGTATAGTACGCTTCTAGCCTTAGGCCGTAGTATAGGTAAGGTTGTCGTCGTAAGTATAGTAGCAATAGTAGGTAATGTTAATAATAGCGGCGCTAGCCGTCTTAGCGCTAACTTTACCTTCTTCTAATTTCCTTCTTTAACTAATAACAACTCGGTAATACCGTTACTAATATAGCTATGTCCTTTCTTTCTTAAATAGTAATACACTCCGTAATACCGTTACTAATATAGCCGCGCCGGCTACGCCGTCGTTATTATTATTATTACTATTTACGCGCACTATCCCCGCCGACCGCCTAGGCCTCGAGATCTCGATAGAATAAGGAAGGAATAAAAGGGGGCGTTAAAAGGAGGGTCTTATAGAGTGCGCTAGTAAAGAGGTAGATCCCTTAAAAGAGTAGGGGATTAGTCGACAGTTATAGCGCGCTCGTTAATACTCGGTACGCGTTCGCTATAGTAGTATAGTCTTATTGTCCTTCGTTACTAACAATTGCTTGCTTCTAATTAGTTAGCTAATAGCACCCTAGGGGTAGCATTGTTCTTAGGCGACATTATAGGCCCTTAGCCTTCTTCTTGTTCTTTATACTAGTCTAATACTTATCTAATAACTTAGTTATGTCTTTAAAAGAGTCTTTAGCTTCCTACGAGTCCTATTTAGGTAAATAGCCTTACTATCTTAGGAGGTATTCCTTCTTGCCTTGCCTAGTCTAGTGCTTTAGAATACGTTCTATAGACTATAGCTCTTCCCTATCGGCTAAGACTTCTTCTAACTTAGTAGGCGCTTTATCGCCTTCGCGCTAGTAATATAGTTTAAGGAGGGATACGTAGAAGGTATTATAAATAGTATAATAGGGTAGAAGCTATAACTAATAGGCCTATACGGAGGAGCCCTTAACTTCTCGAATGCGGAATAGGCTAATATACCTTAGTACGAGCTTAGGCCTTGTTTTGCTATCGGGTAATAGGTACTTACGGATACGGAGGTTCTTAGTGCTTAATATAACTATATCGCCTTGCTTAAAGGTTATTAGGGTATAGTGTCTATTATAATAGGCCTTCTAATAGGCCTAGGCCTTTGCTAGTTTGTTAGCTATCTTAGCGTAAATTTCTCGCATCTTTTAAACCCTCTTAATAGCCGCTAGTGTTTTAGGTTAACCCGCTTCCCTTTCCTTACGCTCGGCCTCGAGCGATAGGGGGTCTTATAGTATAGCAGCGTTCTAGCCTATTATAGCTATATATAGTAACACCTTGGTTAATAAGTAGACACTATTATTATACACGAATTTAGCTAGCTATAGGAGGTTAACCTAGTCGTTAGGGTTCTCGTTAATATAACTGTATAGGTACTACTATAGGGTAGCATTCTGCCTCTCGGTTTAGCTATCTATCTATAGATAGAAGGCTATAGATAGCCGATACTTAAGTCTTAGCTATAGGCATATCTTACTCTAATAGTAAGATATAAATATCGAGCCTCGGTCGGAAACTATCCCCTTAGGGGTTCCCTAATAGGTATAGAAGATATTATTCTATAGCGCTTCTACTATATTAATAGAAGTCCAATCCTTCCGAGTAGGGATATAACGAGCGCCTTTAGTAAACCGATCTACTATAATAAGGATAGTATCGTATACGTCCTTACTACCCCTACGCTTAGTAGGCGGAAGGCCTATAATAAAGTCTATTATAAGCTCTGCAAATGGTTTCTTTAGAACGGGAAGTAAAGACAACTCGCCGAATAGTAAGTACTTTAGTGCTCTAACTCGCTAGTATACTATATAGCTCTATATATATTCCTTTATATACCGCTTACTATTTAGCTAGTAGTATATACGCGATAGGAGCTCGTGCGACCTCTCTATACTATAGTAACTAGCAAGCTTACTATTATAGTGTCGCTTTAAAAGCTCTTACCTAATCGATTGTTTAGCGGGGATATAGTATCTGCCCTTAAACTTTAAGTAACCCTTATTATCGATCGACTAGTTACTCTTACTAGATCGAGTCGCTCGTCTACTTACAAGCCTATTAATACGTTTAATAGCAAAGGCGTCCCTCTGCTAAGCCCGTAATAGCTTATCTATAAACGATTAACTATCCCTATTTACAAGGTTATTTAATAGCACCCTCGCTGTCGAACGAGGTACGTATTATATACATCTAATAGCACTAGTAGCCGGAACTACTACAACCTCTTCTATAGTACTATCGCTATAGATAGCAATATCTTTAATCGAGTCGTTATAGCTCGAGCGATCTACGTCCTTTTTAACGTATACTAGAAGAACGACAACTCCGCTATAGTATTTGTTACCGCCGCGGGGTCCGGAAGTCCGCTTATCCTACGCTTGCTTTATAGTAAGGTCTATAGCAATCTTGTACTACAGGGTTAGAAACAAAGAATTAATGTATTAGGTCTCGCTATCGTAATTAGGTCGCCTCGATAGGCTATTAGTAGGGTTACTTACGCCTAGCCGATATAATATATTAAAATCAAACCTAGCGAGGTAGACGGCCTATCTAGCCTATCGACCTATAACCCGTATAACCCTAGTAATCCTACGTAGGTTGTTATAGTCGGTATAGACCTAAACAGGGTACTAAGCACTATCGAGATAATAGCGCTAGTGCTTAAAGGCTTCTACGATTGCTAAGAGCTCCTACTCGTAGGTCTCGTACCGACGTTCTATATCGATTATCTTCCGTAAAAAGAAGGCGATTAGGTGCTAGTAATTGTTATTAGCCTATTATAACATAATAGCTAATATAGCGAACTATGAAGCGTTAGTCTTAATACGGATCTGCTTGCTTAGTACGAAATAGTATAACAAAGGGACTTTGGTAAAGCGTTACTTTAGACCGTTAAAAGCGGCTTGCGCTCTATTAGTCTATTTGAACTCTCTAGTCGGGTTAGTCTTAGTTTTAGTAAGCTTAGTTAGTAGCATTACGTACCGTAAATAGCTCTTAATAAAGCGGCGGTAGAAATTAGCGAAGCTAAGGAACGACTATAGCTCCTTAATTGACGTAGGAATAGGCTATTTAGTAATAGTTTTAATCCGATTAGGGTTAGCCTTAACACTATTAGTTAATACGAGGAAGCTAAGGAAGGCTACCTCCTTAGTAGCAAAGGTATATTTAGAAGGCTTACAATATAGTCTGTAGGCCCTTAGACGATCGAGTACCTTACGTACTATAGCCTAGTGTTCTATAATATTAGGTAAATAGGTATAAACTAGGATGTTATCTAGGTAAACTATACAAAGGTAGTCTAGTAGGCCTAATAGGGCCCGATTAATATAGGACTAGAATATAGCAGAGGCATTAGCTAGCCTAAATAGCATAACTAAGTACTTAAAATAGCTATAACGGGTACGGAAGGCTGTTTTCTATTTATCGCCCTTACGAATGCAGATACGATAGTACGTATCCTTAATATCTAATATAGTATAGAAACAGGCGCTAGAAAGGCGGTCGAGGGTCTTATTAATAAGCGGAAGTGGATAGCGGTCTTTAATAGTAACAGTATTAAGCCTACGATAATTAATATATAGGCGTAGGCTACTATCCTTCTTTAGAATAAACAGGATTAGTATACTAGCAGGGCTGTTGCTATACTAAATTCGACTATTAGCTAGGTTCTTATCTAGGTACTTACGCAATATAGCAAGCTCTCGTTTACTAAGATTGTAAAGTAGCCTAAAAGGTACCTCCTTGCCCTATATAATATCGATCTTATAGTCCGTCTCTTTAAATATAGGCAACGTCGATGCTAGGTAGTATTTAAACATATTAATATAGGTCTCGCGAATAGGCTATAGGATGCGAGTAAGTTAGTTAGAGTCTATACTATTAGAGGGCATAGGTTTATCGTTATTACCGCCGAGAAGGTTAGCTATCGGATTAGCTAAGGCAGGTGTTAGGTTGCTAATAAACAGGACCCTAATATCGTTAGGACACTCGCTAATATTAATGTATTTAATGTCCTCTCTCCTAGCGATTCTAAATCGCTACTATTAACTGCCTAAGTCTATAACTATAGTATAGTGCTTAAGGACAGGGTTGCCGATAATAATATTAGATAGAAGGCTATCTATATCTACTATATAGGCAGTAAAGTCTAATAACCGCTTATTGCCGAGGTCGTCCTTTAGAACTATAGGAATATAGTAGGCTCTATAGGTTAAGTGCCGAGCGTTATTAAACTAAGTAAGGGTTAGTAGGTTAGCCCTCTTTAATTGTCGAAGGTCTAATTACTTAGCTAGGCGATAGTTAATAAGGGCACTAACTAAATTTCCTAAGTCTAGCGTAACCTTAGTTTCGTAATTAGTGCCCTAGGTGTCTTATATAAGGCAGGTACGTATAATAGCTAGTACAATATCGATAGTTTTACGCCGTATAAGGCTAACAGTTAGTGCGGCGCTTATTCTTTTTTCGAAGGACCGATAGGGGTAGTATTAGCGGCTAAAAGGTGCTTACGGTGTTTAGTAGTAGCACGGTCGATTCGGGCCTAATCCTTAGGTTTGTCGCATTAGCCTAGTAAATAGCTAGTACTATTATAGTTAAAGCATTTCAATCTAGTTAGGGGATTGCTATAGCCGCTATTACTACTATTGTTAGTTAAGCGGTTAGTATTATAGGGATACGAGCCCCTTCTACGGCTCCTATCGCGGCCTCCTCTATATAGTCGCCGGCTACGGCCTCTCCTACGGTTATTGTTACTATTCCTATTATTAGCACTATTGTTTTAGTAGGAACCTTAGTTTCCTCCGCGGGCACTACGGTTGCCGCGGTTAGTACTAGCTAGTCGGATCCTCGATTCTAGTCGCTATTAGAGCTAAACAGCCCGTTCGGCTATTTCTACTTCGACTATAAATTAAATGCGCGTTAGATTAGTCTATTCGAACACACGACGGCGGTCTAATTTAAGGACTAATTCCTATCGCAATTTAGGGCGTATTTCGGAAATCTAGATAGAGTCGGTCTTAGCTAGCAAATCGTCCTCGAGGGTCTTTAAATAGGCCTTAAATAAGCGAGCCGATTAATTAGTCTTTTGTTTAGCTCGAAGGTATAAGTCCTAAGCGTATTGTTGCCTTAGTATAGGGTTTCTAAGGGTGTCTAGTATAATAGTCTTATAGTCTTGCTACTAAACAGCGGTCTAATTAGTAAGGGAGTCGAAATAGTTATCCTAGGTGCGCTTTAAGTCTCTATTAATGTACTATATAGTATAGACGACTAGCGAATAGTCGTCTAGTAGGGCCCTTAGTATATTCCGCTAGTTCAATTTACAATCGCGTATATAATTATTATACTGCTTGCGGCTAGAGCTATTAAATACGGTATAGTCTTTAAGCTTAGCGTCCTTCTTTTAAATAGAAGGTCCTACTACTAGTTCTAGTCTAGTAGTAGTTGTTAGGGTTTCCTATAGGCGGCGAATCTCGAGGAGATTATCCTTTAGTTATTATTCTTAACGTAGGGTAGTAAGCCTGTTTTAAGTAGCTTCTTAAAGTCTCCCTACTAGTTAAGAGCTAAAGGCTAGCTAGCTATATCGTCGATTAATAATATTGTTAAGAATGTCGTTAATAGGCAATTCTAGATTATTACCTAGAATTATAGGTTCTTCTTTAGTACGCCCTCCGGTAGGCTCTTTAGTAGGCACTTTAGCGGGAACTATGCTACTAGTATTGTTATTGCTAGCACTGCTAGGAGCACTACCGGCGTTGTTATTGCTAGCGCTACTAGCGGCGCCGCGGTTGTTGCTTCGTAAAAAACTGGCTATTATAAGGGGCGATACTAATAATATATTGTTAGCTCTTAAGATGCGGATATAGCGGAATTAGTAGATATCGGTCTAGTATGCTTAACTTAGTATAATAGGCCGTATAGAAGGCCTTGCTTAATAATTAGTATAGTTGTTTCGATAGAATAGTACGTATAGGTCCCGTTCTTCGGGCGTAATATAGTTAGATTAGTCTTGTTCGTAGGTATACCGCTAAAAGCTTGAAATAAGAACTATCTAGCTGCTACGCTTAAAGGGTAGATCGAATACTATATAAGAAGGGTTATATTAGCAGGTAGATAGGGTAGTAGTAGGTACAAGTAGTATTCGATAAGGCACTAGAAGGAGAGGGAGGAAGGTAGGCAAGTTAGCCTATTGCTAAGTGCTAAGCCCTGCCTAAGGCACTAAGACCCTAGCTTTACTCGAGCCTAGTTATATACCAATTACGTATAACCTCTTTAGCCCTAGCAATAACTTCTTAGATAACGCGCTACGCGCCTATTAATAATACTAAGTAAGAATAGAAACAGCCTATATTAGATAGAAAGAGTACGTAATTCTATATAAAGGCGACTCTATAATAGTACTAGCCTCGGGTTATACTAGGGCCTAGGCGGGTAGAAGTTTAACCTACGTAACGTATAGTCCCGCGTATCGTATACTTCTACGGTTGTTACTACTATACTTTGCGACACTATATCTTAATAACTACTAGAGATATAATGTTTATATTAAAAGGGTAGACTAAAGAGATAATACGCTTCATTTTAATATTGAAATTATAATTGTAGCTTATATCGTTGTATTGCTTTACGCTAGGGTCTTAAATTTGCTAAAATCTGGCTTATAGGCTTCTATACTTCCGCATTTAACTATAGGGCAACTAGCGGCTCTATAACAACCGCTTTGCGCCTAGTCTGCTTCTTAAATAACTGTTAGAGAGTATTAGCTAGCTGTTTGTCCGCTTCTTTAGTCTCTTTATTACGTTGTTTATTAGCCGCTTTAACCGCCTACTAGGTAGCCTTCTCTTTAGCGCTCTATAAGCGTTCTTCTTTATATAGTTATATAGCAATCTTCTTCTACTAAGCCTTTATACGTGCCTTTTCTTCTCTATCTGTTTAGAAACCTGTTTATTAACCTTCTCTTATTCTTTACGTACTTAAAGAGCCTTAGCTTAATTAATCTTCTTAGATAAGAAGAATATAGTACTATTGTTGTCCTATTGCCTTATCTCTTAAAAGAGGCCTTTACTACGCTTCCGCTTCTTCTTCTTAAGATTCAGTATAGTCTTAAAGCCCTTATTCTTAGCTTTTAATATAGTATACTTAGTTATTATAGCAAGGATAGTATTTAATAGCTTATTAACTTTGCGCTTATCTATCTCTTCTAGTTAGTTAGCAACAACGTCCTTTATAAGGCTCTTTAGCTTCTTCTAGTTACTTGCTAATAAGATTAAGTTGCCTAAGTTACTAGTAGATAGTCTTATAGCTTATAGTAGCTCTTTAGGCTCTTCTTTTAATATGCTAAGAACTTGTAATAGATTAAAGGGATTAAGGCCTAGCTTCTTCTAACTACTTACTATATTCTTCTTAGTTAGAGCCCTAGTCTAGGCAGGCTAGAATAAGCGTAGAAAGTTACGCTTTATAATACTAGACAAGTCTTAGTAATTATAAATAAACTAGTCTAGTTGCTAGCTATAGAAGATGCCGAGAGGTACGAATACTAATAGATCTAGTAGCTATAATTTATAAGTTAAGTAAGGAGGGTATATAGCAACTAGTATCTTATTATTATTAGCCTATTTAAGGAAGGGTATATTTATATAGCTTCCGTATCTATCTATAAATAGGAGGCGCTATTTCCGCCTAGCCTTATTCTTTATATAGTAATAGAATATCTATATAAGCTACGTATAACTAAGGCTAATGTCTGTCTAACCCTTCTTAGAAGAAGCAAAGCAGGCCTTATACTTAGAGACCTTAAAATCTTATACCTAAGTGTCTTAAATATTGCCTGTCTTTGCCTAGTAGATTAGGCCTAGAGGGAGCTATAATCTATTAGCGCAGATATAGCTAACAATAGTAAGCTACTCGCGATTGCTATCTTAAATATTGCTAATAAGCCTATAGCTCTTAAATGCCTCCTTTAAGACAATCCTCTTTGCCTTAAGTAACTTCAAGTAAGGTATCTAATAAGCATACCCTTTTTATCTATATTATATATATTCTTAGGCTTAATCTCGTATTACTTAATCTTCCGCTCTACTAGGTTAAAGTAGGCCCTATAGACTATAGTATATCTTGCTATCTGCTTTCTTACGTTCTTTATCGAAGGGTTAGAGGTAGACTAAGAGAATCTTATCCTTGAACCTTTTATAGAACCTATGTACCTAATTGTTCTTTAGATATCTCTTTGCGATATCGTATACGAAATTACGAAGTATTGCTAGCGTTAGAGGCAGGCTACGGTCGGAAAGGATATTTAGATACTATATAAGAGTGCGCTCTTGTTAGTAACTAAGTATTATCTAGTTCTCGGCTTTTTGCTAGACTATTCTATAGACGCTATAGTACCTCTTACTAAGTGTTAACCGCGTAACTTTATAATCTCGTACGTACGCCGAAATTAAGATCTAATCGTCTAGTTTTAAACGAGCTACTACTTAATTAATTGAGTCTATTATATATTAAGATATATAGTTACAAAGTATATAGAAGAAACGCGAAAGTACGCGTTACGAGGGGCCGTACGTTACGCGGGTTAAACTTCTAGCTAGGGCTCGGGCGGGTAGCTAGGGCTCGGTTTAGTCTTAGATACTTCTATAAGCCCTAGCTAGTAGCCCGAGCCCTAGCATTATATAAGATTTTAAGATCGACTATTCCTAACGAAATCGCGTATAGAAGCGGATAATCGCGTCGCTATAGGCCCCGCTAGCCGGGCAACTACTATAATACTACTGCTAGTAACTATAAAGCTAAAGTTTGTTAGCAAATTAGTAGTATAGCAAAATTAAAGGTATTATTAGTTATTAGCTATCTACTTAGATCTAAGCGGATTACGACCTACTACCTTATAACTACGTAAGGCTATATATGCTAGCTTATACTAGTCTCTTAGTTACTAACTAGTATACTGCTATTGCTAAGTAAACTAATAGTACTATTACTAAGTAAACTAATAGTGCTATTGCTAAGCAAACTAATAGTGCTATTACTAGAGTACCTAGTAATAAAGCGGCCTTCCTACTAGTTATATAAGCGACTACTAGTACTATTACTAAGCAGCCTGTCGTTGTTATTGCTTATATAATGCCGCCTACTAACGACTATATTTAAATTACTAGATTAAACGCTATTCTTCGCGTGCATTTATATCGCTTAGCTCTTAGCGTAGAAGTTCTACCTTAGAAGGAGGTTATAGAGTAGCCGGAGGTGCCTATTCGAGTACTTCTCGACGTAGATTATAGTACCCGAAGCTATAAGGGTAATAGGCAGGTCTATACGGACGGTTAGCCTTCTAGTAGGGGCACTATTAGTTACGGCACTAGCTCTTTACGCACTTATAGTAAGCTAAGACCGTCGTTCTTAGCTAAGTAAGTAATACGCCTAGCTCGAGAGTAAAGTTAGTAATAGTAGTACTTATTAGCTTCCGCTTCTTCGTAGTAATAGCAAAGTCGTTAAGTTCTCGAGCCGTTAGTATACCGTTATATACGCTTTGTTAAGTAAAGTGTCGCTCCGCTAGTAAGAGGCTTACAGTTGCTAAACACAACCCTCGGCTCTCGTAGACGTAGCTAGCGCTTGCTAAAGTTAATAAGCTAATACTCGTAGAAGTAGTAAAGTAATAGTACTACGCGGCTGCCGCCTATCTCGATTAGCTTTATAATCTCGTATTTGTAAGGGTAGCCGTACGTCTTAGTAAGCTAATCGTTATAGCGGTAGTATAGACAGCTATACGAGTAGGCCGAGTGCTTAATCTTATTACCGTTATCGTTAACCGTAGTTCTTAGTAGAGTAAGGGCACGCTTCTATAGCTTAGCTACTTCGAGAAGGTAGTAGTCGCTTATAACTCGAGAGATAGAAGCCTAGAATACGCTAGTAAGTAGCTTATTATAATTTATACCGCTTTAAGTTGTCCGCTATAGCGGTACGGCGGCAATCGTAGCCTTCTTACTACTAGTTAAGAAGCGACTTAAAGAGCGTAAAGATATCGTATCGGCTACTATAGTTAAGCTAGAGTTTAATACGGCTATAGTAGGACTCAACTCGTAACGTTATCTTCGCTCCGAAGTATAGTACCTAGTTAGTCTAGTAGTTAATAATACGAGTCTTATAGTACTACTAGTTCTTATAGAGGTAGGACTAGAATATAGGATAAACGCTATCTAGCATTCTAGCTTTGTAACGTTACTATTAATCTCTTCCTCGGTATCGCTATAGACAGTATAAACGAAGGGCTTTATAAACTTAGTAGTTAAAGGACTATCTATCTAGTAGCTATTAGATTTAATTTGTCTAAACTCGCCTCTCTCCTTATATACGCGAGTAAGGACGTCTTAGTTTAAATGCCACTCGTAAACGATATTCTTTAACTCCGGAAATACCTTATCGATAGCTAGTATTAGTACCTCTTCTCGATTAGTAGTAATAATAAGAGGCATTAGATAGTTAGCTTATTTAAGGCCTTATCGTAGCGACTTTAATAACTTTACGAAGTTCGCTTTATTTAGCTTCGGACGGACAAGGCTAATACCTAGCTTAATAGTATCGTTTATAGGTCTAGCGGCGACTATATTAAGTAGCTCGAGGGTATAAAGATTAGTCGAATAAGTAGTATTAATAATTAACTAGTATAGCGTCTCTTTATATACCGCGAGAGAGGTCGGATATAGAGCTACTATTGCCTAGATTAAGCCTTCCTCGTCGGTAGCAATATCGTAGAAGATACTATTATTATCTAATAACTTAACTATACGCTTAGCTTAGTTATAGAGCCGCCGCTTATTAAGAGTCCTATTCCAGGTAATATTATAGAGATTATAAGGCTTTAGGATTACTCCTTTACTATAGAAGTAGGCTATTATCTTCGACGTTAGTATACGAGAATACTAAAGCCGCTCTAGTTACTCGAGGAATTTAGCGGTTCTTAATCGGGTCCGGTAAGTAGCAAGTACTATAATATCGTCCTTCTTATAGTTATAATAGTAGTATTCTTCTTTACTCGAATACTAGATTTGCTACTTACCCTCTCGCTTAAAAGGGTAGATAGTAATAGCGTAGAAGTAGAACTTATAGTCTATCTTCTTCGTCTTCTTCTATATCTTATTCGTAGTATTCTAGGTACGCTTATTAGGCAATCCGTAGTATCTATAGATATATAAATAGCGGTATTTAATATTATTCTTATTCTTCTTCGGCTTATACTCTTTAAACTCGTACCTATTTAAGATACTAAATTCGTAGATATATCGCTCGAGGGCGGATTTCGAAGGGAACGTCGACTAGTATAGTATTAGACCTCGAGGTAGCGAAGGCGGCGGTTTAACGATAAACTCGTACTTCTAAGGCCGCGGCGATACTAACTAATAATTAGGTAGAGATATACGCTCGTATAGAATATTAAGTAAGCGACTACGACCTCGCGGCTCTTAAATACGCGTCTCCGAGACAAATTTAACTTCCTCCTACGACTTAATATCTACTACTTTCGCGGAGCTATTAACTACGATAATACTACTCTCTATATCCTTATCTAGTATAAGAAAGTCGTCGATATATACCTCGTACGATAGAGAATAAGCTATTATATCTAGAAAGAGCGTAGATAATAGTATAGGTTAAGAAACTAGTTATTATTAGTAATAGAGGAAGCTGCGTTATAACTCGCTATCCGGGCGCGACTATTAATAATACTAACCGAGAACGGAAACACCGTATATTAGGCGGAAACAGCACGTATTTGACGATATATTAATATAGGCGCGATTCTATATTAGTGCTAGGTCTATATCTGCTAGGGCTCGGGCTGCCAGCTTAGGCTCGGGGAAGTATCTAAGCGGTTTAGTATCGAGGACAACACTTGCATCTGCTCGAGCATGCAGAGAAGTGGCACAGTAGCAAATGGCACTGACATCTAGCATGACCACTACCTCAACCAGTGCTTACAGCGAGCATACCGACACTCTGGTTCATCCCACCGCCCAGAATAATCACAGGACACCAAGATGGGCTCCTCGATCGACTTCGCAGACGTCAAACAGCCGACGAAAGTCCAATGCGGCGTGACAGTACCAGACACACCACTGATATCCGCAGCCCTGGAATTCGCCAAAACCGTATCAACAGACTATACCTACAACCATATCGTCCCCTCCTGATTACAGCTCGTATGGGACTCTATAGCGCTGCATACGATCGGGAGTGTGGTGTTTGAGAAAGAGCCTGAAGTTCAAGCGTGCTCGTATGGAATTTGGGCGGACTTTCAGGGACCGGATATGGTGCCTGGCGGTGTGCTGACTTGGGAGGAGTACAATGCTATTGTGGGGGTGAGTGAATGGAGATGGTCCGGAATACTAGGCATGGGCTAATGTTTCTGCTTCAGGAATATCCACGGCTCCGCTTGATGAAGGGACTGAAGGATAATATGCTGCATCTCTGCAAGACCAAGCCCGGTACGACGTATGATAATACTGTTGGGGAGTGGGGCGATAGGTATCTCAGTGAGGATGAGTACAATCGCAAGCCGAACCTGACACAGAATTTGCTCGAGACTTGTGATTTGGACGATAGAGATCCGAATGCATGAAGTTATAAGAGCTTGATGAGGGCGGAAGTGTATCGGGTTCATCAAGGTGAATATTTCGTAACCCTGATGGTTCACGCATTGAAGTCACAGACATGGAGGTAAACAGCATTGCGATGAGCATACTCGACCACTTCATAGCTATAGGCATCGTCATGCCAAAATCAACACTTCTCCGCGCAGTCACCATCCCGGTGAAAGCCATTGTTGCAATACACCGCGGAAGACAACGACATTGCCGTCTATCCGGGATACGAATCAATTTCTTCGGGCCAGAAAATGTCTTGCCATTCTACCCACTGTCCGCCCGTGTCCATGAAGTCGAGATCGATTTCTGGATGGTTGAGAAAATCTTGTAATGGAGGATTTGGCAATAGCGGTTGTGGCGGAGGTATAGTATCAAACATCGCGGGTGCCGGAGGAACGTCCATGCCATCATCGAGGTGTTCTTGAAGCGTCGTTTTCAAAGCGTCCATGTGCATAGAGAACTCCTTGGCCCCGAAGTTGCCATTCCGCTCAAGTTGCTGCAAGAAGGAACAGCCCAGCAAGAAGTCTTCCCGATCATTTGTCCAACCAGGACTTTGGAGGAGGGCAGATAAGGCCAGGATGGTAGCTGAAGAGAAGAGAAACTGCATATGGAAGTAATCGAAAGTGGGAAAGCTTCCATCAGTCCAGGATCGTTTGAGGAGTACGATCGACTGTCGAGCACATCGAATGCAAGCCGTTGTCAACGACAATGCCGAATCGGAGAAAGGCTGCAGGGAATGTGAATCTGTCGCCGATTGTGGGTGGCGTTTACGGAACAGATGCAGCAATATTGGTCTTGTCACCACGATTACCGCCTGAGAACCGTTAAAAGTTGCCTCAGCAATCAAGTTCGACACCGTGAGAGTCCCAATTGTGCGGTTGGGAAGAATACTCACCTGATTGAAGGCAAGGTGCAAGTACAGCACATGTGGCTCGACAGTCACAGGAAGCTCATCTGTATTCAACCTCAGGTGCTCGGGAAGATCATCAGCCCAGTCTCGCAATGCTCTGACGGCCACCTGCACTCGCTCCGAGAACGATGTCGGCTGTCTCTTTCGGACATACAGCGTCGTTACTGCGTGATTAAGCATTCGGGCCATCTTGATCGACATAATCATGTACTGCGCATCTTCAAAATCACCTCTCGCCGAGGGAGGTAGACTTTCATCAGACGGCAATCCAATCTCAATACTGTCATCCGGGCTCGATGGCGGCCAGCCGATCTTACTTGCCCATAATCGATCAAACCGATAAGCCGTCCACCACAAACGGCATCTGTGTTCTCGTATCGCTGGATCGCGGAGCTGAGATTCGCCAATCTCGATATGCAAGCCCAATATCACACTGATTCGGAGAGCATGACTAGCGAGTAGAATACTCGTATGGCGTCGGTTCATGGAGGCAGCATAAAAGGACAGCAGAAGATAGACTTCGACCAGATCCAGTCTTGGGCGCTCGGCTGGCATGTGTGTCAGCTGCATTGCTCGCGCCCAGTACTGTGCACCTGGAAATGGCTGGTCGGGAAGGGTACACCGTGACGAGTACCCTTCACCAATCGCCATCAACACCCAGATCCGACATTTCGTGAGCCAGTTGCATTGCTGCGGATCTGTCAACAACTTCTGCACATCTTGCAAAATCGTGCTCTTCCGAACGATATGCCATGTTTTGGAAATCGTCTTCAGCGCGACATCGATGAGGAATTGGATCCTCGCAGGACTTGGCCAGGCGGGAGGGTTCTCGGAGAGTGCTCGCAGTGCTTCGTCGGCTAAGTAATGCACTCGCGGAAAGTGGCTGACCTGCTTTCTCGAAGCCGCTTGTCGAAGTCTCGTTGCAAAGGCAGCATCTGCTGCTTCGCCAATGTGAATAGGCAAATCTACGGCATTGATGCCCATAAACCACGGCCTCTCGTCCAGCACAGGATTCCGATCAGCATTGTCAGCTCGTGGCGCTGCTGCCTCTGCGATTTTTTGTGATGGTGTCGCTCCCGGCGATTCAATCGAGGACACGAGAGCGCTGAGTCGCTTGTTTTCTTCAAGCAGACTTTCTAGGTATCTTTGCCCGACTTTCGTCTTTCGGTCTCGTACGGGGTATGAGCATTCTAGTCGAAACGCCTGGCATGAAGTGCACGGTGGGCCGTTCCCAGAGCACTTTATTTTACGCTTGTGGCATTCCAAGCACCTGGTGCATGCCTGTTAATATCAGAGCTTGATGCTACGAGGTGAGTGGGAAGTCTGCTCACGCGATGATACGTTTTCCCGGCGTTACTGACATTGATTTCCACGTGCTGACGGCGAGCTGAAAGTTAGAAGCTGACGAAAGAGCGTAGTGGTCGTTAAACGAAAATGGCTTAAAAGGGAAAGGGCCGCCTCCGGTGTCGGGAATCTTTCTCTAATGCAGTAGTTCGCTAGCCGATAGTCGGATTCAATTCTTGCTAGGATGGCTTATCCAATATGTGTAACGCGTTAGCTTAGTTACATAACAGGCACGTAACTTCTTAGCTTAAAGAATTTTCTATACTATATTTTAGACTAGAGAAGAGATAGGGTATAGGCAATTAACGAAGCTAATTTAACCGCCGGCAATATAGTATTATATAAGTAATCTACTACGCTATACGTAATAGTTATAAGCCCGGATTTAATCCGCGGTATTAGAGACTTCTATAGTAGGAAAGAATTTTCTATTCTATAAAACCTTTAATAATCGATTAATAGTCTTAACGGCACTATAAGAAACAACTGTCTATATAAGCCTCTACGATCGCTTTAAGATTAATATATCCTTAATAATAGCTCCCTTATTAGCTAGTCGCCTTAGCGGTAGCAAGCTAGTTGTCCTTCGTAGACCTAACGAATAGGACCGATAGTTTAAGCAAACTAAGACGTACCTAACCAGACACAAGACCTAGGTCCTTACTAATCTATATTCGACTAAGCCTACTAAACTAGTATAACCCCTTCTCCCGGAATTCGATATAGAGCAACTTATAAGCAACCCCCTACATTAGGCTAGGGCAAAGCTTACTAAGGAACACCCTAACATAAGGAAGGCGGAGTTTAAACGCTTTAGGACAGCTCGTAATAAGACGATTAAATATCTAGCTATAACTATAGACATTCGCTATTACTTAGAGATTACTAATCCTAATAGAAACAATATAGTACTAACTATACGGCTTATTCTAACTCGATTAAAGAATAAGCTCGTACCTAATACGTAATAGTTAAGAACTTCTCTTAGTAAAGAGCTACAACGTCTAGTAAACTCTAAGCAGGTTAAGGACCCCGAGTACTAGTATAAGGAATAGCTTAACCTATATAAAACTATAAGGCGTATATAACACCCGGAATTTAATAACCTAGTAACCTACCTATATACTATAGTTACGAATATAAATAAGACCTATAGTAAGGGCCTCTATATAATGCACTAGGCAGGGCTAATAGTAAACAACTTCTAATAGCTAGTTAGTATAATACGAGATTACGCTCGGAATATAGCTAGTACTATAACGACTCGTAAGGGGTCGTCCTTTAGCGTAATCTATAAAGAAGATAATAGTTCTAACGCCGCACTTTAAGCGAATACTATACTATAAGGTGCTACTAGTAATACTATTAAAGACAAGAACAAAGACAAGCGCCGCACGCCTAAATTATATACTAAGCTTACTAGCCTTAGTAAGAAGAAGGCCTATAAGAATCGTAGCAAGTGCTTAGTATTTAACTACCGTCTTTGTAATAAGGTAGATAAGAAGGACAAAAACGGCTAGTAGCGTAGCAAGCTAAAGTACTATAAAGGCTATCTTCGCCGTAATAAGGACTTCTACTTAAGACAAGCTAAATTCTATAAAGATCCCCTAGCTATTAAGATTGCTAAGCAACAACACTACGAGGGCCGTAATAAGGATAATACTAGTATAGGTAATAGATTAGGTAAGCTCTTAGTAGCCTACTTCTATAACCCTTTACTAGTATCTCTATTAGCTTTACTAGCGGCTAATCTAACTACCTATATATTAATAATCGTCTATAGGGGCAAGTAGAACCTATTTAACGTACTAATATATAATAGTAGCTTAAATTGCAATATTATTAATTACCCTAGTCGATTTAACTTTAAAGCGCTCTTCCTTCCGCTATAGGCAACCGTAGCTACTAGCACTATATATAATCGAGTCGTCGCTATTAGAATAGCATTATTTATAGTAAAGAATACTAGCGGAAGTCCCCTAGAAATCGAGCTAAAGGAATGTCTCTATATCCCTAACTTTTATACTAATATTGTTAGTAGAACACTATTCTATTATAAGGGTTTGAGATATTAGGAGATAGACGATACCCTATATAGCCTATAAGGCAAGCTACTAGTCAAATTTATTAGACTAGACAATAATATACCCTACTTCGATATAGAGAGCAAAGTTAACGATAACCTACTACCTAAGATATAGCTAAGCGATAATAAAGGCTAGCTACGAAGTTATCCGTTCTTCTAACTAATACGAGCTAACTTTACTATACGACGCTCTATATATCTACTACTACCGAGGCAACTTATACTTAAGAAAATATATAAGGTATTTAGGCACCTAAGCGTAGAACGTGCTTAAGAGCTAGCTAATCGGGTTAATAGAATAATACGAGATCTCTTATTGTTAGAGGCTATACGTGATTAGTATATAACTAGCTCGAGTGAAGCTAGGGTCTTAGTGCCTTAGGTAGGGCTTGGCGCTTAGCGTTAGGCTAACTAGCCTACCTTCCTCCTTCTCCTCCTAGTTCTCTATCGAATACTACCTATACCTACTACTACCCTATCTACCTGCTAACATAACCCTTTTTATATAGTATTCGATCTACCCTTTAAGGGTAGTAGCTAGATAGTCCTTATTTCAAGCTTTTAGCGGTATAGCTACGAAAACTATCGATTTAACTATATTACGCCCGAAGAACGAGACCTATACGTACTATTCTACTAAAACAACCGTACTAATCATTAAGCAAGGCCTTCTATACGGCCTATTATACTAAGTTAAGCACACTAAACCGATACCTACTAATTCCGCTATATCCGTACTATAAGGGGCTATAATACATTATTAGTGCTACCCCTTATTATAATAGCCGGTTTATTACGAAACAACAACCGCGGCGCCGCTAGTAGCGCTAGCAATAACAACGCCGGCAGTGCTCCTAGCAGTGCTAGCAATAATAACACTAGTAGCACAGTGCCTACTAAAGCACCTACTAAAGTGCCCCCTACTAAAGGGCCCGCTGCTAAGCCTATTAAAGAACCTGTAATTCTAGGTAACGACCTAGAATTGCCTGTCGACGACATTCTTAATAATATTGTTAACCGTCGATATAGCTAACTAGCCTTTAGCCCTTAACTAGTAGGGAGACTCTAAGAAGCTACCTAAAATAGGCTTACTGCCCTACGTTAAGAATAATAGCTAAAGGATAACCTCCTCGAGATCCGCCGCCTATAGGAAGCCCTAACAACTACTGCTAGACTAGAACTAGTAGTAGGACCTTCTATTTAAAAGAAGGATGCTAAGCTTAAAGACTATACCGTATTTAATAGCTCTAGCCGCAAGCAGTACAATAATTATATACGTGATTGTAAATTGAACTAGCGGAATGCACTAAGGGCCCTACTAGACGACTATTCGCTAGTCGTCTATACTATGCAATATATTAATAGAGACCTAAAGCGTACCTAGGATAACTACTTTAACTCCCTTACTAATCAGACCGCTATTTAGTAGCAAACCTACAAAACTATTATACTAGACACCCTTAGAAACCCTATACTAAGGCAACAATACGCTTAGGACTAGTACCTTCGGGCTAAGCAAAAGACTAATTAATTAGCTCGTTTATTTAAGGCCTATTTAAAGACCCTCGAGGACGATTTGCTAGCTAAGACCGACTCTATCTAGATTTCCGAAATACGCCCTAAATTGCGATAGGAATTAGTCCTTAAATTGAACCGCTGTCGTATATTCGAACAGGCTAACCTAATACGCATTTAATTTATAGTCGAAGTAGAAACAGCCGAGCGGGCTATTTAGCTCTAGTAACGACTAGAATCGAGGATCCGACTAGCTAGTATTAACCGTAGCAACCGTAGTAGCCGCGGAGGAAACTAAGGTTCCTACTAGAACAACAATGCTAATAATAGGAATAGTAACAACGACCGTAGAAGAGGCCGTAGCCGACGGCTATATAGAGGAGGCTGCGATAGGGGCTATAGAAGGGGCTCGTATTCCTATAATACTAACCGCTCGACTAACAATAGTAGCAATAACAGCTACGGCAACAATCTCCTAACCGGATTAAAGTGCTTTAACTATAATAGTACTAGTTATCTACTAGGCTAATGCGACAAACCTAAGGACTAGGCCCGAATCGACCGTACTACCGCTAAATATCGAAAGCACCTTTTAGCCGCTAATGCTACCCCTATAGGCTAACCTTCGAAAAAAGAATAAGCGCCGCACTAACTGTTAGCCTTATGCGGCGTAAAACCATCGATATAGTACTAGCTATTATACGTACCTATCTCGTAGGAGATATATATAGGAACAATTATAAAACTAAGGTTATACTAGACCTAGGAAATTCAGTTAGTGCCCTTATTAGCTATCGCCTAGCTAAGCAATTAGACCTTCGACAATTGCCTAGGACTAACCTGCTAACCCTTGCTTAGTTTAATAACGCTCGGCACTTAACCTATAGAGCCTACTATGTTTATATAGCCCTAAGAGACGACCTCGGCAATAAGCGCCTACTAAACTTCCCCGCCTACGTAGTAGATATAGACAACCTATATAGGGGAGCTACTATTATTATTAGCAACCCTGTTCTTAAGTACTACGCTATAGCTATAGACTTAGGCATTTAGAAGTAGCGATTTAGAATCGCTCGGAAAGAGGACATTAAATATATTAATGTTAGCGAGTGCCCTAACGATATTAGGGTCCTGTTTATTAGCAACCTAATACCGGCCTCCGCCTTAGCTAATCCGACTGCCGACCTACTCGGTAGTAATAACGATAAACCTATGCCTCCTAATAGCATAGACCCCGACTAGCTCGCTCGTATACTAGAGCCTATTCGAGAAACCTATATTAACGTATTTAAACACTACCTAGCATCGACATTGCCTATATTTAAGGAGACAGATTATAAGATTAATATTATAGAGGGCAAAGAGGTTCCTTTTAGTCCCCTCTACAACCTTAGTAAACGAGAGCTTGCTATGTTACGTAAGTACCTAGAGGAAAACCTAGCTAATAGTCGAATTCGGTATAGCAATAGCCCTACTAGTACACCTATCCTATTCGTACTAAAGAAGGATAGCGGCCTGCGTTTATATATTAATTATAGAGGGCTTAATACTATTACTATTAAAGACCGCTGTCTACTTCCGCTTATTAATAAGACCCTCGATCGCCTTTCTAGTACCTACTACTACACTATATTAGACATTAAGGACGCCTATTACCGCATCCGTATTCGTAAGGGCGATAAATAGAAGATAGCCTTTCGTACTCGTTATAGTTATTTCGAGTACTTAGTTATGCTATTTAGGCTAGCTAACTGTTAGAGCTAAAGAGGCTATATGTAATTGGCATGTAATTAGGCCGAGTAAAGCTAGGGTCTTAGTGCCTTAGGCAGGGCTTAGCGCTTAGCGTTAGGCTAACTCTCCTGCCTTCCTCCCTCTCCTCCTAGATCCTTATCGAATACTACCTATACCTACTACTACCCTATCTACCTGCTAATATACCCTTCTTATATAGTATTCGATCTACCCTTTAAGGGTAGCAGCTAGATAGTCCTTATTTCAAGCTTTTAGCGGTATAGCTATAATAACTAATCTAACTATATTACGCCCGAAGAACGGGACCTATACGTACTATTCTATCGAAACAACCGTACTAATTATTAAGCAAGGCCTTCTATACGGCCTATTATACCGAGTTAATCGCACTAAGCCGATATCTACTAATTCCGCTATATCCGCATCTTAGGGGCCTACAATATATTATTAGTGTTACCCCTTACAATAGCGGGCTTATTACGAAGCAACAACAACCGTACTGCCGCTAGCAGCGCTAGTAATAACAACGCTAGTAGTACAGTTCCCGCTAAAGTGCCTACTAAAGTGCCTCCTACTAAAGGGCCTACCGGAGAGCCTATTAAAGAAGAACCTATAATTCTAGGTAACGACCTAGAATTGCCTGTCGACGACATTCTTAACAATATTGTTAACCGTCGATATAGCTAACTAGCCTTTAGGCCCTAGCTAGTAGCGAGACTTTAAGAAGCTACCTAAAACAGGCTTACTACCCTACGTTAAGAACAATAGCTAAAGGATAATCTCCTCGAGATTCGCCGCCTTTAGGAGGCCCTAACAACCAACACTAAGCCGACAGTAGGGCCTTCCTCGCTATTAGTTCCAGTCTAGAAGAAGGATGCTAAACTTAAGGACTATACCGTGTTTAATAGCTCTAGCCGAAAGCAGTATAACGACTATATTCGTAACTATAAGCTCAACTAGCGCAACGTACTAAGAGCGCTACTAGACGACTATTCCTTAGTCGTATACGCTATATAGTACATTAATGGCGACCTAAAGCGTATATAGGATAACCATTTTGATTCCCTTTACGACTAGACCGCTATTTAGTAGCAAGACTATAAGACTATTATACTAGACACCCTTAGAAACCCTATACTAAGGCAACAATACGCTTAGGACTAATACCTTCGAGCTAAACAAAAGACTAATTAATCGGCTCGCTTATTTAAGGCCTATTTAAAGACCCTCGAGGACGATTTGCTAGCTAAGACCGACTCTATCTAGATTTCCGAAATACGCCCTAAATTGCGATAGGAATTGGTCCTTAAATTAGACCGCCGCCGTATGTTTGAATAGACTAATCTTATACGCATTCAATTTATAGTTAAAGTCGAGACTATAGAGCGTATAGTATAGCTCTAACAACGGTTAGAATCTAAGATACGCCTAGCTACCTATCGTAGCCGCGGAGGAAACCAAGGTTCCTACTAGAACAATAGTGCTAATAATAGGAACAGTAGCAGCGACCGTAGGAGAAGCCGTAGCCGACGGCTATATAGAGGAGGCCGTAATAGGGGCCGTAGAAGGGGCTCGTATCTCTATAATGCTAACCGCTCGACTAACAATAGCAGCAATAATAGCTACGGCAATAATCTCCCGACCGGATTAAAGTGCTTTAACTATAATAGTACTAGCTATCTACTAGGCTAATGCGACAAACCCAAGGACTAGGCCCGAATCGACCGTGCTGCCGCCGAACACCGAAAGCACCTTTTAGTAGCTAACGCTACCCCTATAGGCTAACCTTCTTATTAGTCGAAAAAAGAGTAAGCGCCGCACTAACTGTTAGCCTTATACGGCGTAAAACTATCGACATAGTACTAGCTATTATACGTACCTATCTCGTAGGAGATATATATAGGAACAACTATAAGACTAAGGTTACGCTAGATCTAGGAAATTCAGTTAGCGCCCTTATTAGCTATCGCCTAGCTAAGCAATTAGACCTTCGATAACTGCCTAGGACTAACCTGCCAACCCTTACTTAGTTTAATAACGCTCGGCACTTAACCTACGGAGCCTACTATATCTATATAGCCCTAAGAGACGACCTCGGCAATAAGCGCCTACTAAACTTTACTACCTACGCAGTAGACATAGACAGCCTCCTATCTGAGATTGTTATTAGCAACCCTGTTCTTAAGTACTATACTATAGTTATAGACTTAGGTAGTTAATAGTAGCGATTTAGAATCGCTAGGAAAGAGGACATTAAATATATCGATATTAGCGAGTGCCCTAACGATATTAGGGTCCTATTTATCGGCAACCTAACACCTGCCGCAGCTAACCTAACAGTCGACCTATTAGGCGATAACGATAAGCCTATGCCCCCTAATAGCATAGACCCTAATTAGCTTACTCGTATACCGGAGCCTATTCGAGAAACCTATATTAATGTGTTTAAATACTACTTAGTATCGACATTGCCTATATTCAAAGAGACGGATTATAAGATTGATATTATAGAGGGCAAGGAGGTCCCTTTTAGCCCCCTCTACAACCTTAGTAAACGAGAGCTTACTATATTACGTAAGTACCTAGAGGAAAACCTAGCTAATAGCCGGATACAGTATAGTAACAGCCCTACTAGTACCCCTATCCTGTTCGTACTAAAGAAAGATAGTAGCCTACGCCTCTATGTCGATTATCGTAGGCTTAATGCTGTTACTATTAAAGATCGTTGTCTACTTCCTCTTATTAATAAGACCCTCGATCGCCTTTCTAGTACCTACTACTACACTATATTAGACATTAAGGACGCCTATTACCGCATCTGTATTCGCAAGGGCGATAAATAGAAGACAGCCTTTCGTACTCGCTATAGCTATTTTAAGTACTTAGTTATACTATTTAGGCTAGCTAATGCCCCTACTATATTCTAGTCCTATATTAATCGGGCCCTATTAGGCCTATTAGATTACCTCTATATAGTTTACCTAGATAACATCCTAGTTTATATACACTCTCCTAATATTGCGGAACACTAGGCTACAGTCCGTAAGGTACTCGATCGCCTAAGGGCCTATAGCTTGTATTACAAGCCTTCTAAATGCACCTTTGCTACTAAAGAGGTGTCCTTCCTTAGCTTCCTCGTATCAACCGAGGGTATTAAGGCTAATCCTAATCGGATTAAGACTATTACTAAGTAGCCGACGCCTACTAGTATTAAAGAGCTTCAATTATTCCTAGGTTTTACTAACTTCTACCGTCGATTTATCGAAGGTTACTCGCGGCACGTAATGCTACTAACTAAGCTTACAAAAACTAAGGCTAACCCGACTAGAGAGTTTAAATAGACTAATAGAGCACAAGCCGCTTTTAACGGTCTAAAGCGACGCTTTACTAAAGTCCCCTTGTTATACTATTTCGTACTAAATAAGCAGATCCGGATTGAGACTAACGCTTTACAGTTCGCTATATCGGCTATTATATCCTAGTAATTAGATAATAACTATTACTAGCACCCGATTGCCTTCTTCTCGAGGAAGATAATTAATATAGAGCGTCGCTACGAGATATACAAGCAAGAGCTCCTAGCTATTATCGAGGCCTTTAAGCATTAGAGGCACTATCTCGATAGTGTATAGTATACTATTTAGGTCTATACGGACTATAACAACCTCCGTAGAATTACGAAGGTTACTAGGGTTATAGGTCGATAGGCTAGATAGGCCGTCTACCTCGCTAGGTTTAATTTTAATATATTATATCGGCTAGGCGTAAGCAACCCTACTAATAGCCTATCGAGGCGACCTAATTACAATAGCGGGACTTAGCAATCTATTAATTCATTGTTTCTAACCCTATAGTATAAGATTGCTATAGCCCGTATTGTTAATAAGTACGCGTAGGATAAGCGGCTTACCGGACTCCGCGACGGCTTAAAGTATATTAATGCTCTTACTATATTAATAGTGCGTATTAAGGCAAGAGCTAAGGATATAGATAGGAGAAGTTATAATAACTCCCTAGTCGATATCGCTATATATAGTAATAGCGATTAAAGCACTAATGCAGTTGATCCGGCTGCTAGTGCTATTAGATATATATAATACGTACCTCGTTTAATAGCGAGGGTGCTATTAAATAACCTTACAAATAGGGATAGTTAATCGTTTATAGATAAGCTATTACGGGCTTAGCAGAGGGACGCCTTTGCTACTAAACGTATAGACAAGCTTGTAAGTAGGCGAAAGACTCGATCTAGTAAGAGTAACAATTAGTCGATCGATAACAAAGGTTATTTAAAGTTTAAGGGCAGATACTATGTCCCCGCTAAATATTCGATCCGATAAGAACTTCTTAAGCGACACTATAATAGTGAGCTTGCCGGTTACTATAGTATAGAGAGGTCGTACGAGCTACTATCGCGTATATACTACTAGCTAAATAGTAAGCGGGACATAAAGGACTACGTAAACACGTATGCCGTATATTAACGAGTTAAAGCGCCGAAGCACTTACTATTCGGCGAGTTGTCTTTACTCCCTGTTCTAAAGAAGCTATTTGTAGAGCTTATAATAGACTTTATTATAGGACTTCCGCCTGCTAAGCGTAGGGGGGAAGTGTATAATGCTATCCTTATTATAGTAGATCGATTTACTAAGGGCGCTCGATATATCCCGGCGCGTAAGGATTAGACTGCTATTAATATAGCAGAGGCGCTATAGACTGACATCTTCTATACCTATTAGGGAACCCCTAAAGGGATAGTCTCTAACCGAGGCTCGATATTCATATCGCACTATTAGAGCGAAATATGCCTACAGCTAAGACTAAAGCATCGGCTATTAATAGCCTTCTATCTATAGACTAACGGTTAAACAGAGAGGTAGAATGCTACCCTATAGCAGTACCTACGTAGTTACATTAATAAGAACCCCGAGGACTAGGTCAACCTCCTATAACTAGCTGAATTCGTATATAATAACAGTGTCTACTTATCTACTAAGGTCTCCCCTTATTTTGCTATAATAGGCTAGAACGCTGCCTTACTATAAGATCTATTTACCTCGCTCGAGGACGAGCGTAAGGAAAGGGAAGCGCGTTAAGTACCCGAAATACTAGCGGCTATTAAGAGGGTTCAGAAGATGCGAGAAATCTATACTAAGATAGCCGAGAAGTTAACAAAGGCTTAAGAGTACTAAAAGACCTACTATAACAAACACTACCTTCTAATAACCTTTAAGTAAGGCGATATAGTTATGCTTAGTATAAAGAACCTCCGCATCCGCAAATACCTATTACCCGATAGCAAAACAAGGCCTAAGCTCGTACTAAGATATATTAGCCTATTCCGCATTCGAGAACCGAAGGGTATATAGGCCTACTAGTTATAGCTTCTACCCTATTATACTATCTATAATACCTTCTATATATCCCTCCTTAAGCTATACTATTAACGCGAAGGCGATAAAGCGCCTGCTAAGTTAGAAGAAGTCTTAGCTAATAGTAAAGAACTGTAGTCTATAGAACGTATCCTATAGTACCGGACTAGGAAAGGCAAGAAGGAATACCTCCTAAGGTAGCAAGGCTATTTACTAGAATAGGACTTATAGGAAGCTAAAGATTCCTTTAAGGACATAACCGAGTTGTTAGATAAGTATTAGACTAGCGTAAAGAACAAGAAGAAGGCTAAAAGCTTATAATGTTACTATTAAGGCCTAGGATCAATGCTACCCCTAGGATGCTATTAGCTAACTAATTAGGGACAAGCAATTGTTAGCAACAAAGGACAATAAGACTATATCCGGCGCGCTACGACGCGTTAATTAATTAATCGCATGCTCTTTTAAGGGCTCTACCTCTTTACTAACGCGCCCTATAGGTCCCCCTCTTGTTCCCTTATTCTAACGAGGCCTCGAGGCCTAAGCGATCGGCGAAGGCGCGCGCGTAGCGGATAGTGCCGGCGGTGTATTAGAAGAAACGGTATACGCCTATATTAGTAACGGTATTGCGGAGTGTATTACTATTTAAGAAAGGAAGGATACGGCTATATTAGTAACGGTATTGCCGAGTTGTTGTTAGTTAAAGAAGGAAATTAGAAGCAAGGTAAAGTTAGCGCTAAGACGACTAGCGCCGCTATTGTTAACATCACTTACTGTTGCCGCTGCGCCTATAGATACAACCTTACCTACACTACGAGCCGGAGCGTACCCTACTAGACAAGTTAAAAGAATAGCTATATTAAAGGTTTGATTAAAACTTTAATTAAAACTTTAAGCCGCTTAAAAGATTAAGCGACTAATAGACTAACTAACTAAGGGCAAAACTACAGAGCTAAGCTAGCCGGGGTCGATCTTGCGGACAATAGGTTACTCCTCGATCTATCTAACCCTTTAAGCGAGGCGAACCTCTACTACTATACTTATAATAGCCTTTACCTATAGAAACTAGACGAGCTGTGTTTTTTTAAAAAGATATAATTAGTTGACACTTAAAGGCTACCAAACCTAACTAATTAGGGCTAGCGAAACTACGAACAATAATAGTCCTCGTAACAATAAGAACAATCCCTCGGAAACGGACAAACCCTTAGAAGCGGACATTTCTAGATCTTTTAAGAGTAGACGCAAAGAACTCGGTACGACATTACTTAGAGCGGAGGCAGGGCTGCAACACCTCGTGCGTCTACCTGTTATAGTAGGGAAGACGCGCTCGTATTGTAATTAGTCGAAGGCCCTTAATTCTTATAGATACATATTACTTTATAGTTTATTGTATATAGAGATAGCGCAGTTAGAGTTATATATTGTGTTATTTAGAGGTAAGGTTTGACATAGTTACATAATTAGGTAGTTAAGTGTTTAATTTAGCGCGGGCTAAGCAGCTTATTAGACTTGCTAAGTTAGCGGCAATAGAGGTCGTAGAATATAGACAGGCTACGAGGGCGCGGCCTTTAGAAGGGAAGCGTGTATTAGAGCTAAAGAGGCTATACGTGATTAGTATATAATCAGGCCGAGTGAAGCTAGGGTCTTAGTGCCTTAGGTAGGGCTTAGCGCTTAGCGTTAGGCTAACTCTCCTACCTTCCTCCCTCTCCTCCTAGATCCTTATCGAATACTACCTATACCTACTACTACCCTATCTACCTGCTAACATACCCTTCTTACACTAACGCCCCTATAACATTCTAGTCCTATGTTAATCGGGCCCTGTTGGGCCTGTTAGACTACCTCTGTGTAGTTTACCTAGACGATATCCTAGTTTATACCTATTTACCTAACATCGTAGAGCACTAGGCCGTAGTACGTAAGGTACTCGACCGCTTACGGGCCTATAGCCTATATTACAAGCCTTCTAAATATACCTTTGCTACTAAAGAGGTATCCTTCCTTAGCTTCCTTGTATTAACCGAGGGTGTTAAGGCTAATCCTAATTGGATTAAGACTATTACTAAGTAGCTAACCCCTACTAGTATTAAGGAGCTTTAATTATTCCTCGGCTTCGCTAATTTCTATCGTCGCTTTATTAAGGGCTATTTACGGTATGTAATGCCCCTAACTAAGCTTACTAAAACTAAGGCCAACCTAACTAGAGAGTTTAAATAGACTAACAGAGCACAAGCCGCTTTTAACGGTTTAAAGAAGCGATTTACTAAAGTCCCTTTATTATACTATTTTATACTAAACAAGCAGATCCGAATTGAGACTAACGCTTCACAGTTCGCTATATTAGCTATAATGTCTTAGCAGTTAGACAGTGACTACTACTAGCACCTAATTGCCTTCTTCTCGAGAAAGATAATTAATGCTAAGCGTCGCTACGAGACCTACGAGCAAGAGCTCTTAGCTATTATCGAGGCCTTTAAGTATTAGAGGCATTACCTCGATAGGGCCTAATATACGATACAGGTCTATACAGACTATAACAACCTCCGTAGTATTACTAAGGTTACTAGAGTTATAGGTCGATAGGCTAGATAGGCCGTCTACCTCGCTAGGTTTGATTTTGATATATTATATCGGCTAGGCGTAAGTAACCCTACTAATAGCCTATCGAGGCGACCTAATTACGATAGCGAGACTTAGCAATCTATTAATTCATTGTTTCTAACCCTACAGTATAAGATTGCTATAGCCCGTATTGTTAATAAGCAAGCGTAGGATAAGCGGCTTACCGGACTCCGCGACGGCTTAAAGCATATTAATGCTCTTACTATATTAACAGTGCGTATTAAGGACACAGATAGGAGAAGTTATAATAACTCCGTAGTCGACATCGCTATATACAGTAACAGCGATAGTACTACTATAGTTAATCCGGCTGCTAGTACTACTAGATATATATAGTGTATACTACGTAAGATAGCGAGGGTGCTATTAAGCGAACTTATAGAAGGGGATAGACGAGCGTTTATAGATAAGCTATTACGTGCTTAGTAAAAGGACGCTTTTGCTACTGCTCGTATAGATTAGCTTAGAAGTAGCCGTAAGACTAGATCTAGCAAGAATTAGTCGATTAATACTAATAGCTATTTGCGCTATAAGGGTAGGCTCTATATCCCTACCGAGTATTCGATCCGACAAGAACTTCTTAAGCGATACTATAATAGTAAGCTTGCCGGTTACTATAGTATAGAGAGGTCGTACGAGCTACTATCGCGTATATACTACTAGCTAAATAGTAAGCGGGATATAAAGGACTACGTAAACACGTATGCCGTATATTAACGAGTTAAAGCACTAAAGCACTTACTATTTAGCGAGTTGTCTTCACTCCCTATTCTAAAGAAGCCTTTTATAGAGCTTATAATAGACTTTATTATAGGTCTTCCCCCTACTAAGCGAAGAGGAAGCAAGGACGTCTTTAACGCTATACTAGTCGTTATAGACCGATTTACTAAGGGTGCTCGCTATATTCCTACTCGGAAGGATTAGACGGCTATTAATATAGCTAAAGCACTATAGAACAATATCTTCTATAGCTATTAGGGGACCCCTAAGGGGATAGTCTCCGATAGGGGCTCGATATTTATATCGCACTATTAGAGCGAAATATACCTATAGCTAAGACTAAAGCATCGGCTATTAATAGCCTTCTATCTAGAGACTAACGGTTAAATAGAGAGACAGAATGCTACCCTATAGCAGTACCTACGTAGTTACATTAACGAGAACCCTAAGGATTAGGTCAATCTCCTATAACTAGCCGAATTCGTATACAACAACAGTGTCTACTTATCTACTAAGGTATTACCTTATTTCGCTATAATAGGAAGCAACCCTACGCTACTATAAGACCCCCTATCGCTCGAGGCCGAGCGTAAGGAAAGGGAAGCGGGTTAACCTAAGACACTAGCGGCTATTAAGAGGGTTTAAAAGATACGAGAAATTCACGCTAAGATAGCTAACAAACTAGCAAAGGCCTAGGCCTATTAGAAGGCCTACTATAACAAATACTACCTTCTAATAACCTTTAAGCAAGGCGATATAGTTATGCTTAGTATAAAGAACCTCCGCATCCGTAAACACCTATTACCCGATAGTAAAACAAGGCCTAAGCTCGCACTAAGATACATTAGCCTATTCCGTATCCGAGAACCGAAGGGCATATAGGCCTACTAGTTATAGCTTCTACCCTATTACACTATCTATAACACCTTCTATATATCCCTTCTTAAGCTATACTATTAACGCGAAGGCGATGAAGCGCCTACTAAGTTAGAAGAAGTCTTAGCTAATAGTAAAGAACTATAGTCTATAGAACGTATCCTATAGCACCGGACTAGGAAAGGCAAGA